AATTTCTGGTAGTGGGGGACTGCGTTCGCGCTCTCCCCTGATTCAAAAGTCAAAGAAAAACAAACAACTTATTCTACAGACATCTATACAGACAACCATCTCAAAATTTTTAAGTTTCCATGTTGACGTATGGTGGCCTCTCGTCAAATCCAAATCTATTCAAAGTAAAATATGAAGGTTATGCAGCTGCGTTGTGTCTTATATTTATTTGTATGTGAGTGGAGGAGTTGTAGTTTATTTAAATAGTAGAGCTTCGACAAAAAATACAAAAACCGGAGGTTGTGCCAAGAAAAAAAAACACCTCTATTTAATGACAACGTTGCCAGATTTGATCATATTGAGCATTTTTCTAGTCAAAGTTTTTATATACGACTGACTGATATGTTTAGGTTTATTTTACTTAGCCAGTAAATGTCACATGTTTTGATGGTTTTATGGTAAATACAGTGGAAGTTTGAATAAACGTAAGCTAACAGTTGGTGGTACTATGTACTCAATTATAGAAACTAGGTTTTAGTTTCTTTTTATTTTCAGATCAATATAATTACACTTACTTATTGTTTTTTTATTGTTAAAATGGGCTTATCTTCAGTTTGTCCACATTTCATACTAATAATAAAAATACTTTAAGTAAAAAGTAAATTAACATAATTTGGATTTGATTTCTCAATTGCATATTTTTACGCTGGCCCAGAAACACAGCAACAAAAGACACAACAAATTATTTGGAGTACCTATAACTCTCACTTTAGTCACATATATAGTCTAAATAGCGTATTTTTCCCATCACTTTCAGCTTAATGACCGTGCAATGAAATATGAGGCACTTCTACCTGAATGGTCGTGTCTGTCTCCCAATCTGGCAACCCTGACCAGCAGAGACCCACCTGTTTGGAATTCATTTGCTAGTGAACGACGAAGTGATTAAACTTTAAGTACCATACAATGTAGTTTTTGCTTCTGGGCAGCTTGCAGGTAAGTTATGTAACCTGTTTATAACTTCTCTGTGAGGTGTCATACTATATCTTGCATGTCTTTCTTAGTTTTGATGGGTTTTCGAAGTTGATTGCGGCCTAGTCCGGCTGCAAAGGAGCCCCTCGTGTTTCTCTGAGGAGGTATTTACGCCTCTAAGCTTAAAAATAAGTTGTGCAACATTGTCAGTGCACGTTTTATCGTCTTTTTAGAGGAATGGCCAAAGTTTTGGTGTAATTTACATTCAAGTAGGTCATTTAATATTACCAGTGTCGTCACATTGAAACGATATTATTTATTTTAATAGATTTATTTAAACTTGAATCCTGTGCCAAACAAGGAGAAAAAAACTATATTTACTAATTAGTTAAAATGTGTGTAAAAGCAACCGTTATTTTATTCGGGAGGATAAATATGCTGTTCCTCTGGTTGTCCACCAGGGGGAGCTAATTGTGACTTTGTGGTTGCATACGCTCTGGGATACAAATAGCTTTTCATTAACTGGTTGGTACGGGGTCATTCGTGTGTACGTGATGTTAAATTTTCTTTAAATATATAATGAATATCTTACTTTTCCGGTGTCTCTGTTCCTTGCTGCCGTCAGTTGCAGCGAGAGGCTCAAAGATGGGTGCATTTCCCCTCCAGGCCAGAGGGGGCGACAGCAGCACGACGCTGTTTCTAACCGGCGACCGGCAAATAAACAGGAAGTGGCTAGACCACGGGTAGAA